GGGGTCTGTACTGGGACCAGTCCTGTTCAACATATTCTTAAATGTTCTGGAAAAAGGGATAAACAGTGAGGTGGCAAAATTTGCACATGATACAAAATTACTAAGATGGTTAAGTCCCAAGCAGACTGCAAAGAGCTACAAAAGGATCTCACAAAACTGGGTGACTGGGCAACAAAATGGCAGATGAAATTGTATGTTTATAAATGCAAAGTAGTGCACATGAGAAAACAACCACAACTATACATATAAAATAATGGGTCTAAATTAGCTGTTACCACTCAAGAAAGATCTTGGAGTCATTCTGGATAGTTCTCTGAAAACATCCACCCAATGTGCAGCAGCAGTCAAAAAAGTGAACAGAATGTTGGGCATCATTAAGAAAGGGATAGATAATAAAACAGAAAATATCATATTGCCTCTATATAAATCCATGGTATGCCCCACATCTTGAATACTGCGTGCAGATGTGGTCACCCCATCTCAAAAGAGATCTATTGGAATTGGAAAAGATTCAGAAAAGAAATGATTAGGGGTTTGGAACGGCTTCTGTATGAGGAGAGATTAAGACTGGGACTTTTCAGCTTGGAAAAGGGATAACTAAAGTGGGATATGAGAGAGGTCTACAAAATCATGACTGGTGTGGAGAAAGTAAATAAGGAAGCGTTGTTTACTACTTCTCATAACACAAGAACTAGGGGTCACCAAATGAAATTAATAGGCAGCAGGTTTAAAAAAAACAAAAGGAAGTATTTCTTCACACAATGCACAGTGAACCTGTGGAACTCCTTGCCAGAGGATGTTATGAAGGCCAAGACTATAATAGTGTTCAACAAGAACTAGATAAGTTCATGGAGAATAGGTCCATCAATGGCTGTTACCTGGGACGTGCAGGGATGGTGTACCTGGCCCCTGTTTGCCAGAAACTGGGAATGGGAGACGGGATGGAACACTCAATGATTACCTGTTTTGTTCAGTCCTTCTAGGGCACCTGGCATTGGTCACTGTTGGAAGACAGGATACTGGGCTAGATGGACCTTTGGTCTGACCCAGTATAGCCATTCTTATGCAACCTTATGCTTGCCCTCCCTATATTTCCCCTTCTCTCCTTTGTTTGTGAAACTCACTTTAAATTATAAAGTTTTCATGGCATGGACCATGTCTTCTTATGTGTTTTAAAATATAGGAATGGCCATACTACACCATATGGTCCATCTAATCCCATATCCTCTTTCCAACAGTGGCCAGCAGCAATTATTTCAGAGTAAAAAACTAAGGTGCCACCAGACTCCTCAAGACTAACAAATGTATTTGGGCATAAGCTTTTGTGGGTAAAAAAAAAAACATTTCTTCAGATGCATGGATCTGAAGAAGTGGGTTTTTTACCCACGAAATCTTATGCCCAAATAAATCTGTTACTCTTTAAGGTGCTACCAGACTCCTCTTTGTTTTTGTGGATACAGACTAACACGGCTACCCCTCTGATTTCAGGGTAAGATGCAAGAAACCATATAGAAGACAGATTTCAGAGTAACAGCTGTGTTAATCTGTATTCGCAAAAAGAAAAGGAGTACTTGTGGCACCTTAGAGACTAACCAATTTATTTGACCATAAGCTTTCGTGAGCTACAGCTCACTTCATCGGATGCATACTGTGGAAGATACAGTGGGGAGATTTATATACACAGAGAACAGGAAACAATGGGCGATCAGGTAAGGTGAGCTATTACCAGCAGGAGAGCTGGGGTGGGTGAGAACCTTTTGTAGTGATAATCAAGGTGGGCCATTTCCAGCACTTGACTGCTGGTAATAGCTCACCTTACCTGATCACTCTCCTTACAGTGTGTATGGTAACACCCATTGTTTCATGTTCTCTGTGTATATAAATCTCCCCACTGTATTTTCCACCGAATGTATCCGATGAAGTGAGCTGTAGCTCACGAAAGCTCAAATAAATTTGTTAGTCTCCAAGGTGCCACAAGTCCTCTTTTTTTAATTGATATTCTAAATATTCTTATCCATATACGTGTCCAATCTTACTTAATCCTGTTACATTTTAGGCCTCAATATCATCTTGGGGGAATATCACAGGCCAATCATACAAGAAAATGGTTACTTTTCAGTTTTAGGTATGGTACTTTTCACTTTCATTGAATGTTTCCTTGTTTTGTATTATGAGAGGAGATAATTAGTGACATAGCTACCTTTTCTATACCATTAATTAATATATCTCTTACCATGTTTGCTCTTAATCACCTTTCTATAGAATGTTTTTTCCCATGCCTCTAATCATTCTCTTTGCCCATTTCTGAAGCCCCACTTTGCTTTTATTTTATTTATTTGATAGATTAACTAGAACCAAATTCTGTATTGCAGGGGAGGGCATACTATTGATTTATATAATAGCATTTTCAGTGTTCATCTTCCCTTTCCTTATACATCTTAAATTTATTTACCTTTTTTTGACCACTGCTCTATATTGAGCAGAAGATGACATTGAGCTTTCTTTAGGTGATACCCAGATCTTTTTCTGATTTGTTTCAATTAATTTAGAACCCACTAAGATGTGAGTAGTTCAAATTATTCCCTCCAGGGTGCTTTGTGTTGCATTTATCAGAACTTAATTTCATCTGCCATCGGTTTGCCTGTTCACCTAGGTTGGTCAGGTTTCAGTGTTCTTCACAGTCTTGAACATAAATAAATAGTCATCTGCATATTTTGCCACCTCAATACTTAGTCCTAATAGGGAACGTTGTGGCAACCCACTATGAAATTTTTGCCAGGATAAATATTGACTGTTTATTCTTAACTGTGTGTTGTGTCTTAGATATGATGAGAGGCAAAATGGCTACTTATTTCCTTAGCTGTCTCTTCTGCTGGGCTTTGTCAAGGATTTTTTGGGAGTCCAAACCAGTTGCCAACTGACAAATTATCAAACTATTTATTGATACAGTTTCTAGCACAAATTGGACCCAAGCCAGACTGGGAACTTTGGATGCTACTGCAATAACACACCTCATACTGTTGCATCTGAACACATAACATTCAGAATTTTCTTCATTACCACCAATAGTTTGGCTTTTCTTCTCCCAGCTGTTTGTTGATAAAGAATTGATATTGATAAGTCTCTAGTATTTGGGATAAAAGCCTAAGACAAGGCACTGGAAGATACCATGGAGTTTCTGAATATATTCTTTGCTTCCTTTTGGAGTTAGAGATATCCCTCTCTAGACAAAAGTAGGAGGAGAAAGTAAGTTGAGTCTTTTCCCATCGGCCATGACAATTCATTAGCAATTCTTTAATTTCCATAGGGTTAATAGTTTAAGAATTTGTTCTAAGGGAAAGGAAGCTAGCAAATCAGTCATGGAAGGCTTGTTAGTTCTCAGTTTGGGGTTCTGAAGAGGCTTGATATCTTGGACAAACAGGGCACTTTTTCCCCTCCCAAGGAAACCTATAGTCTATATTTGACTAACTTGAGTTTACAGAAATGGTATCCTCTTCTGCAATGATTAAGATCTGGAATTTGTAAAACCCTTCCTTCTCCTGTTACTTTAAGGCTGAGGGCTTTAACATTCAACATCACTGAGGTTCTTGTAAAATAGATTTCGAGCACTTAGTCAGTTTCCTATTAGCAGGTGTTTTGTATGTTGATCATGGCCATTTCTAAAAAGTTATGGATTTATTTTTACACTTGTCAGAATTTTCTTGACCATACCTAATGTCAAAATAAAAAAAACGAACTTATTTATTCTGGACTTAACTCCCCCCTTTCTTCTTCCAAATTGATTTTTCTAGAAGTCATTCATAAAAATTGTTTTTGGTAGAGGAAATCCCACTCCCCCAAAAGCCTTGTTCTGATGGGATTGTTAAATTTTGAAGCCTCTGCCTCATTGTGTGTCATTTTGGATGTCTCTGATCATAGACTTAATGATTTAACTCCGAGTTTGAAGTGTACAGAATAACTAACAGCTGGTCACTGCTGGCATCCAGCAGTTAGAAAAATCATTTTTTGTAATTATATTTTTAAAATAAAATAAGATCAGAAGGAAAATGGTACCTGAGTAATATTATATCAGGTTTCATGGTAGGTGACTTTGCAGTGTTAGTATGTGTGCGCTATCAGTTCTGTAAATAAACAAAGGACTTCAGTCTCCAGTGTGGTCAACCCAATATCTTTCACCAGCATTAAATTCACTTTAAAATTCAATTCAAGTTAGAAAAATGTCTGTAAAAAATGAGAACTTTCTCTCTCCCTCAAGCAATCTTTTCCCTCTGTATATTCAGTCTTGACTGTTTATTTTTCTGGCCATAATACATCTATATTTATTAGTACTGCAGAGTCAGCAGAGCTGTAGAGATTGAGATGCATTCTCTTCTGGATTGTGTATCCTTAGACTTGATTCTGCATCTGAAACTTGGCACACTTTTTACTAATGATGTGCAAACGTGGAGAAAAAATAAATCCGGATTTTCAGATTCCAGAATGGTTGAATATGAAGTGTCAAACTTTAGAAGAGCCATTTTTCACTCGTAAACTGGACAAATTTGAGCCCTGGTCCTTAAGACATATGCCTATGCTTAAATTCCATTGACTTCCAGACTACTCAGTGTATAAAATTAAGGATGTACGTAAGTCTTTGCAGGATCAATAAATAGAGGGACTATAAACATGAAACCCCACAATGTCACTTTCACTTCTAGAATAGACACTTCAAAAAAAAAAAGGGATTTTTAAAAACCAAACATTACAGACAACCCTAGTAATTTCATATACTGTACTACGAATGTAAAAATAATTGTCTCGTGGCAACACGGTACACCAGTAGATTTTGCTTATCTAACTCAAAGTCCATTTCATGTTTCAGTAGAGTTGTGTGTAACTGTGTTTGCTATTTTAGAGTAGTAATTGGGGATTATTACATTCTGAGAACCCACAGTGTTTATTATATAAGGTATTAATGTTTTTCTTCAAACATGATAATATCTTAAATGTTCTTCTGATAGGCATTGTTCGAATACATTTTTCACCATGAAAATGACGTTAAGAATGTAAGTAATCTATACAAAATAGATTTTTACTTGTACTAAGTCTTATTCTGTCATGTCTGTCAGGTTTCAGCTGAACTAAGGCTTCTAGTGTTACTTTAGTTCTTAGGATAGAAAAATTGCAGCTTTAAGAAAATTCTTTTTACAAATATGAAAAAAGTCACAGATACTAAAATGTTAATGCCTTTATTTTCAGAAGTCAAAATAGCACATACCTGCACTACCTCAAGCGGAGCTAGTGCACTAAAAATAGCAGTGTAGCTAGGGTTGCACAAGTGGTGGCTCAGGCAAGCTGCCCCAAGTATGTACCTGCCCGGACGCCGTGGGTATGTACTTCGGCAGCTAGCCCAAGCAGCACTGTCCATGCAACCCCAGCTACACTGCTATTTTTAGTGCACTAGCTCAAGCTAGTGTGGGTATATCTATACAAGCTGGATATCACACCCCTTCTTCCAAGTGTAGATGCAGACTAAGAGTGAGGGAGAATTGTCTGGAATGGTATATGGGATAATACTATAGTTAGTAATAATGGATTGAACTTAAAATCAGGTAAATTACTGACAGAGCTACCATGGGTAAGTCTGTGTGTGCCGGGAATGTCACCTTTAGCTCAAGTATAGACATAGCCACAGTTTTTTAACAGTCACAGTTTATTTAACAGTCACAGTTAAATTTGTGTACCTGTTGTTTAACTCTTCAAAAGTAATGTAAGCCAGACTTGCAAGTTTTTTCTTACCAGCTCACACAGGTGAAGTGTGTTTTGTTGGATGAGTAAGATATAAAAATTATAACGTACAAAGTATTTCTGGCACATTCATCACCATAATATCCGGTAGGTTGTGCTTGGAGTAACAAAAAAGTTCAGATCAATTTTACATGGCTCATTAAGCATTTATTGGCTTTTCTGCAACACAAGGATGCGTGCAGGGGGCTGAAGATGAAGCAGTTTAGGAATTTAATTTTTCCATGATGCCATTTTGACTGTTTCCAACTAGTGAAGCAATAATTACCAGAAAACACATGGTTTCCGTGGATGTAGACCAGAATCGTTTTCAGATAAAATGCTATGAATTGTTTAATCTGGCACTAAATTATGTCAATCATATGCTGTCTGCCAGCTTGATTGCACAGGCCTCTCTTGATATGATTGGTTATATTTTGGATGCTAATATACTGAAATTCAGTCAGTGTCAGAAAGAAACAGAATGTGTAACATGTTAATTGCTACTCATCTACTTTGACACCAAGGAAGTGAGATTTTTTTCTGATGCCACCAACAATGAAAATACATATTGTTTACCAAGAGGAACTCTAGACCACCAGTGACAAAGGGCTTACATGGTATGAAATCACTTAGACATGTTAACGTGCAATGAATACCAAATGAAAGTGAAAATACATCACTAAACTATTTCAGTGATATTAACAGCAGGATCTCCAGGGCTGGGTTGGCAAATTCATAGAGCCCAGGCAATATGTAACATTTCAGAAATCTTGTGGAAGTAGTATTTTGGAGTCCCTATACAGAATCCACAGACATTTCAGTTTTGGCACAGAGAGATATCAGTAACTGATCTTTACTTTCTAAGGTCTTATAGGAAATACTTTTGTGGCTCAGTTTACAGTATTGGTTGTACTTATGGTACTATATTTTAAACATCCAACTTTTAATTTTAATATTCAGCTCCCTTGATCTCCCTTTCGTTTACTCCTCTTCTTTTCTTCCTATTTGCAGTTTCTTCTCATGCACTTCCATCTCCCTTCTCCTCTTTACCCTCATTCCTCCATATTTAGTCTCTCCCTCCTTCTCAAACCCCCTTAACAAGTTCTCCCATTACTTCATCTCAGTTAAAAAAAAGCCACACAAGTGAACAAAAAACCCAACTCTCTCCTTCAAATCAATTCATTTCACTCCTTACTCATCTGTTCATCCCAGTCACTTCACTCATTCACCCACACACCTCTCCCTGGGTCAGGCACTCTTAGTCTCTTGGTCGTTCAGTAATGAAGGGCTGGGGTATCCTTGCAGCCTAAGATGACTCTTTTGGAAAGGGATGAGGTGTGGAAACTAGTGGTCCCAAGACCTAAGAAGCTGCCCTCTGGGTGGGAGAAGAGGAGGACCAGAAAGCTTGAAGAGCAACTGTCCAGTCAAGTTTCCTGCACCAGGATCAGGAAGAGCAGTTCCTGTAGTTGGCTATGAACTCAAGTCAGGGAAAACCGCACTCCCAACCTGTCCATGAATGTGGGAGGGGACAGAACAGACTAGCTCTGCATCTTGTCTACAGTTGGCTGTAGAACTAATTCTGAGGCTGTGGGTGAACTCGAAGGGTCAATTCACAGGTTGCGATAAATGCTTCCTAATGTGATTTCATAGATTAAGTCAAAGGCTAGAAGAGAATGTGGGGATCATTTAGTCCATCTCCTGTATAAAACACAGGACACAGAACTGCCTCAAAATAATTCCTACAGCTTATTTTTTAGAAATAAAAATCCAATCTTGATTTTAAGATTGCCAGTGATGGAGAGTCCACCACAACCCTTACTAAGTTGTTCCAATTATTAATTACTCTGTTATAAATTTATACCAGATTTCCAATAGGAATCTGTCTAGCTTCAAGATCCAGCCATTGGATCATGTTACTCTGTTAGCCCATGATCAAATACATGTTCTCCATGTAGGTACCTACAGACTGTAATCAAGTCACCCATTAACCTTCTGTTTGTTAATCTAAATGATTGAGCTCTTTGTGTCTGTCGCTATAAGGCTTTTTTTTTCTAGTTCTGTAATCAATCTTGTAGCTTTTCTCTGAATCCCCTCCAATTTATCAACATCCTTGAATTGTGGAAATCAGAACTGGACATAGTATTCCAGCAACCATCGCATCTTTGCCAAAAACAGAGTTAAAATAGCTTCTATTTGAGATTCCCCTGTTTATGCATCAAAGAATCACAATAGCCCTTTTGGCCCCAGTGTCACACTGGGAACTCATATTCAGCTGATTATCCACCATAATCCCCCCCAATATATTTTCTGGAGTCATTGCTTCCCAGGATAGGGTCCCCTGTTGTGTAAGCAGAGTTTTACTCACTGTTAGGGTACCTCCTTCTGGTTGGGTCTGGGGATTAGCTCTCATCCAGTCTAGCACCCTCTTCTGTTGCTCACTTGCCCTGGGGCCCCTCTTGCTCTTCAGGACTCAGGAGTACTCTCTCTTCATGACTTGGCCTCCATCTAGGTCCCTCTATCATTTTCCCTTTCCAAGGTATCAAAGTTCCTCTGGACAGTCTATCCAGATGCTGTCACAGGCAGTCCTCCATGCCAATTCCAAGTCCATGCCACTTTCCTAGTGGTTGGTAGGGGAACCCAGACCTGCCCGCTACTCTGGGTTTTAGCCCAGATACCCTGTAATCAGCAGCCAGGCTCTACACAATCTCTGCCTTTGCTGCTCTTTCCCTCAGCCTGTTCTTTCTCTGAATTCCACAGGCTTTCTTCCTGCAACTCCTCTGGGTGAACCCTTCCTGAAGGGCTAGGATACCAGGGCTTTTGCTCCTTCCTGGGTCAGGTCGGGTCGGGTCTCACCCAGCCCAGCTCTCTGAGTCCAGAGGATGAGTGTGGACTCCCTCCCTACAGCTCCCTTTTGCTGCAAACTTCCTGGCTTTATACAAGCTCAGCCTGCCCCTGCCCAGCTGGGTTTCATCTTCAATTAGCCTTTATGAGTCCGTGGCACTCCGCAAGGTGCAGTCTATATGGTTAATTGACCCCTTCTGAGGCACCATAACCCCATCAGTGCTGGTGTGGCATGGACACCTCTGTCACTGTGCCTACCATTCTTTGTTCCTACATGTATACATTTAGCCTTATTAAAAAGCATATTATTTGCTTATGCCCAGTTTACCATGCAATCCAAATTACTCTGTATCTATATCATTTTCCACTCCCCTAATTTTTGTGTCATCTGCAGACTTTATCAGTGATGATTTTATGTTTTCTTCCAGGTCTTTAACAAAAATGTTAAATAGCATAGGGCCAAGAACTGATCCTTTACTGGCCCTCACTAAAAACACGTTTTCAAAGATGATATCCTGTTTACAACTACATTGAGATTTATCAGTTAGACAGCTTTTAATCCATTTACTGTATGTCATGTTAATTATGTATCTTTTTAGATTTTTTAATCAAAATGTCATGCAGTACCAAGTCAGATCTCTTACAGAAGTCTAAGTATATTACATCAACATTATTACTTTTACCAGCCAAACTTGTAATCGCATCCAAAAAAGATATCAAATATTTACAAATAAGATGGAAAGTTATTAGTAGAGAAAGGGGATCTTTGCTCTCATTTTGCCCATCTTGAGGGACTTGCACTGTTGTCTTCTGCAATATAAATTTAATAAACAAGCCTTAAGCCTTTTTTTTTACCTCCATTTAGTTCTCAACCTTTAAGTACAGTTGAGTTCCTTATCAATTTCTATTAAATAATATGTACAGTTGTATGCAGATTTGATTAAACATACACAATATAAAGTATTTTATCTACATTAATAGCAAATACAGAAAAAATCCACTGACTCTTACCAGTTTTTGAGATAGGAATACAGGAAAGCACAGTATTTCTTTAATACAGTATTTAATACTTTTTTAAAAAATGCATCCAGTATCCCAGGGATTGGCAACCTTTGGCACGCAGCCCACCGGTTTGTTTACCTGCCACATCTGCAGGTTTGGCGGATCGCAGCTCCCACTGGCCGCGGTTCACCGCTCCAGATCAATGGGGGCTGTGGGCCGTATGCCAAAGGTTGCTGATCCCTGCAGTATCCCTTTATTTTACTTAAGGAAAAATAAATACCTATTCTGAGAGGAAATTATTCCTCCATTATTACTGTTCACTCTTATTTTCTTTTGGGATCATTCATCAATAACTGATTCTCTTTAGACACTGAACTATTCTTGATTTTCATTTTGTGGACTAAACACTGTGGGCTAAATGTCAGTGACAATGCGACAATTTAAAAGCTTTGCTCAGAAATTGTTCATCTGCTGCTGAGCTCATTTCAACCAAAGAGTGGAACACTAGAATCTGACATGCTTGAAAGTTTAGTGATGCTCTCTTTACAATTTGTCTTAAGGAACAGCAGCAAATATACTGTATACTGGTTAATAATCCCAGCCCATAGTGTTGCCTTGGTATTTGCCAACACGCAGCAAAGCACACTGGGTGGGTGAACGAAAGCACACTATGTTCTATTTTTATAATTGCATTTTTTTTAAATTATTAAGGCAAAGAACATTAACATCCACTGTAGTTGCTATGCTTGTCACCAAAATACCCTCAGGACATTTCTCTTCACATGCATTGATTGCATTTTGGTCTTTTCTCATTGTAATACCTATTTCAAATACATTGTGAGCAGGCATGTAATTTGTCATTTTATGTACCCCAATAAACAAACACAAATTAGGGGAGGTTTCAGTCTTAACTGTCTTCCAAAATTTTAAATCTGTGCTTTTTTTCCCCATTAAAGTGGCTTCAGTTAGTGAACTTTGAGTTTTTTTACATTGGTATAACTAAAGTGATTTCATTTTTCATACTGCTGTTTGCTAATGAAGCAAACTTATAGTTTTCTGCCCCTCCCCATTGAACTACAAAGAAGCCAAGATCCTAATGGAAGGCAAACAATTTTATACATGGTAAATATCATTCACATTGGTATGAAATGAAGCCCCAAACCTGAAATGAACTCTGAACAACTAGATCCATGCATAGCACCACTGAGACTAAAGATTCCAGGATTTGATCAATATGTTTCCTTAGTTTTCTGAAGGATTACACAAAGCTAGACTCTTTCTAATAGAGCTTGTCTACACCACGTTGCATTTAGCGACAAGGCTGTGTCGACACAGCCTTGTCGCTAAAAGTCAGCCTGTGTAAACACTCTTTTTCAGTACTTTATTGGCACTTTTGCTGACAAAATACTTCCAGCCCCGAAAGCGGCGTTAGCTTTGTCGACAGGAGAGCACGCCTGCCGACAGAGCCACATTCACACTGCCACTTGCGTTGGCAAAACTTTTGTCTTTCACGGGGGGGGCTTTTTTAATTACCTGTGAAAAACAAAAGTTTTGTCGACTACTTCGCAATGTAGACAAGCCCTGAATTAAATATGCTGGGACAGGTCCTCAACTTTTGTGAATTGTTGTAGCTTTGTTCAAGTCAATGCAGCTATGACAATTTCACACCAGCTGAAGATCTGGCCTGCTGTCTTTAAAGCAGACCTAATTGTGCTAGCTGCAGGAGCAAGCAACTGGGAATAAAAACCCAGAAACACTTGTCACTTGGTCAACCTAATTTTGGCATTTCAGATATACAGCTATTAGTTTTTTCTGAATTGTATACACAAGAACTTTACTAGTTTACTGTAAAAATACAACAAAACAAAAACCACACACGCACAAAACAAAACACATACCTAAGAAACAATTCTCTACTGGCCCCTAGTTTAGCTACTCTAATAGGAGTCTTCCATTTCTGTGGTTCTGTGAAATAATTATGAAGAAATCAAGTAAATTCTGAGCTTCATGGCCATGTATGTCTATTTTCATAACATTTTGTTTAAAAGCTTTTTAGACTATTTTTGGTGAAACTGCTATAATGGAAGTGTAGCTTTTACTCTGACATCTTACATTATGATGGAAAATGGAATTTCAAACAATTCTGCAGCTTGTATGTTTTATAGCCTTTCAATACAGTATAGACTGATTCTTTCAGCACAATATGCCATGACCTGAAATCAGAAATTAAAGAAAAAAAGATAAACTAGAGCTTCTTTCTGATTTTTAATCTGTTTAAATATGACCCTTCCAGTGGTCCCTGTTCAAGCAAAGTGTGTTGAATAGCATACCTACCTTTCAAACATCCCTGATTGTGGAGGATTAGAAGGGAGAGAAGCCTTCCTATTTTTTCCCCCATACTCATTTCCTGTGTTATAGGAAACAGAAGACCAAGGAAAGCAGTGTTTACCACTGCACACACTTGAAAGTGCACTGTGCTCAAGTGATCCAGGTAGAAAAGGCCTGATATTACCAAAACCAAGATAATTTGTACACTATTTCAAGCAGAAGTACCTCGGCAGTTTTTCTTAAAAAAAAAAAAAGTTTAAGCCACTTTTAGTAAATTTCCCCCATGGATGATGGGAAACATGAAAAATGTGTATGCTTTGACTTATGGAATACCTTACATTGTCTCTGCAATCTCATTAAATGTGTTCCCTAGTTCCTCTTTTGCATTATATATAACTGTTAAAAAGCATGTATGATTACATCCTGCTATAATCCTTTCAAACATTTTATGATTCAATCTTCATAGAAATAAAGTAATAATCCTTCCGTAGTCTATATGTAAAAACAATGTCTGCATGTACCAAAGTATTTTATTCAATATTTTTAGATTTTGCTGTTCTTTGTCTTGTATTTTTCATCAGTATTCTTTGTTGAAACCTGGAAATGCCAGTTTTAAGGTGTGGGTGTGTGTTTGTGTATTTTTTTAAAGGCTTTAGATTTGGCAGCACTTGCCACAGAGCATGCACAGTACAAAGACTGGTGGTGGAAAGTCCAAATTGGGAAATGCTACTATAGGTAAGTCATTTTTGTATTCTTTAGTGATTGATTGTGATCTGAGGAACATGAACTTTAGTTTCTTATAATTGTACAGTATTTCCTAAGCTTCAAGGTCAAATTGTGTAGTAGTAAGAGGTGTTTGTATAGTAAGTAGTTAAGGGATGACAATATAATAAAATTAGAGCTGGTCAAAGTTGGAATTTTTGTTTTACAGGAAATTCCAAAAATTGTTCCATTTTGAAACCAAAAAAAATTGAAATTTCCTAGAAGGGAAATAAAAAAAATAATTTTGAAATAATCAAAGCATTTCATTTAGAATATTTTGAAACAAAATTGATTCTCGGAGCACCCAATGGACTCATGTGAAGCTGAGAGCCTAGAAGCCCTGAGACAGATGGCTGAGCCAGCAGCATTGGAGGTTGGACTCCCAGGGTTCCTGCTGCAGAGATGGAAACAGGCCCTACTCTAGCTGAGGCACATCCGGGCTCCTGGTTCTATGGTAGGGAATCTGTGAACCCCTGGGCGCCTGGCTCCGACACAGCCCATATGGTGCGGCTTCCATGGAGCCATCAAACCTGGAAGCCAGGTTGTTCCCAGCAGCCCACCAAGTGAGCTGGCGTGAAGCCTGCATTGCAGGCACGGTGCCTTCCAGAACCCTGCCCAGGTATCACCAGAAATTCAGTGGAGCCAGTCCATTTCTGGAAAACATAGACAAATTGGCATTTTCTGGTGAAGCAGGGTTTGAGCTTTACTCATAATTTAGATAAAATGGTTTATCTTTCAAATAAGGAGGCTAGTACAGTATATATTCAATTAATGAGGAAGACTACAGGTTGGGGGTATTAATGAAAAAATGAGCAGACCTTGTCCCTCTTGTCCCACAATCTGAGATAATGTTGAGGCTCCAATATTTTGAGCACTAGAGCTTCCTCCTTGTGTTTGTCTCAATTATATGCAGGGTTGATAACACCTATTATTAAGGTTGCTCAAAACTTCCTAGTATAAGACCCTGTTTCCAGAGGAGATCCATCCTGCATACGAATGAGGCAGGAATCTTGTGGAAAAAATAGTATGTGATCAAAAGACTTTCAGTGCACATGCACAAGGGGGCTGAATTATGATTACAAAGGCAATTCTGGCATTTCCTAACTTTTGAACCTGGATTTTCTTTCAGCAGATGCATGATTTTTTACACCCCACCCACCCCCACGTTACTTTTGGCACTTTAATGAGGTTTTTTATTTGTTTTTAATGGATAGTGCTTTGTTTGAATAAGTTACATTATTGTCGAATAAAGAACTTTCTGTATGTATCTATTATCTCTTAGGTTAGGATTGTACCGTGAAGCAGAAAAACAATTTAAATCAGCTCTCAAGCAGCAAGACATGGTAGATACAATACTGTATTTAGCAAAAGTAAGTAGATATTTTCAAATCAAATTAAATCTGCCTGCTTTAGAATAACTTGAAATTCTCATCTATACATGAAAATCCAGGGGGCAGCTGACCTGGGACTATCCAACTTGATACATTTTTCAGATTGCGTAGCTTTTCAAATCCATTTTAAAATGTATTAAAATAAACCAATCTTTTCAGAATGCAATTAACTTAAACAGCAGAACTGACACAAATAGAACAAGTTATTTTTCAGACTTCCATTCTATAAAATTTTAAAGTTTTGTGAGAATAAGCCTTTATTTTAGAGGATTATTTATGAGCTTTTTTTGTCTGTACATTTTTCCCCACAACTTGTCTTACTCCAGTTCTTTAATATCAAAATGGTGATGAATGGTGTGGGAAATACAAGTCAGTACTGAAAACAGAAGTCTCACTAAATTGTTGTTGCCGCAGGCTCAAGCATTCATGTACTTCAGAGTATGCCCTCTACTTGGATTTGATAATTTGTGATTAGCAGAACTGTGTACAAAAGCAAGAGCATAGTTTAAGTACTGGACACCATCAAAGACACCATCTTCTTCTGCCTTATGTTCTCTCTGCCAACAAACCCTAATCAGGACTATACAGATAAGGAATGATCAGAGTTGCAGTATTTAACGTGTAGCTGTCTGATTTCTTAGGAGACCAATGAAATAAACCAGTAAGAGTGACTAGATGGATCTAAAAACTGGTTTTTCAACTGACATCAAAAGGATTTTATCCGTAGCAGTCAGAAAGACCTCGAAATTGACAAAGTTGTATCATAACAAAGATATGCAAAACACTTGAAGAACCAACATCACCGCTCAAACACCAAAATTGTTGTTTATGGTAGTGCACATGAGGTTCTAAACATTTTTTCCAGACATTCAAGAAGAGACTGGCCTGCTCCAGGAAACTTGCTGTCTAAGGACTTGTCCACACAGTTTGTGGGCAGCAAGCCTGTGTCAAAGCACTCTACAGAACTTTTAGTACATGGTAACAGGGTCCACATGGCCAGTTGGCTTGTGACAGCTTTATATCCTGGCTTGCTGTGAAGTAACTGACTGTATAAACAAGCCCCCAGGGTATCTTTTATCTAGGAGCTTGAATAATAATAGCAATGAAGCCGTGGCTGCATGGGCTTTGCAAGCCTATTCTAGTGACTAGTCCCTGCTGCCACGGCTTCACTACCTTTGTTATTTGAGCTAGCTAGATTAACGCTAACTCTAATATGTCTACATGTGCTGCAGTTATTCATTTGATTGCAGTAAAGATGTACCATAAAGCAGCATTTCCCCAGACTTTGGAAAGCTGACACACTACCCCCACAAGAGGGAACCCTATTTCCCCTCCTGCTTTTTCAGTACAGCTATTAAAGGCCTCCCTAAAATAAGTGATTACTCAGAGTATATGTATAGCTTTTTATTGTATGATGCTTCCTGTGTGCATTGAGTAGTGAATTAGCATCTGAGTTAGCAGCCATTGGAAAGAATGGGGCAGTTCATATCGGAGAGGTATTGTTTCAGGCTCTCTGCAAAATCAGACAGACATCAGTATCAGCTACATCCTAGTCACATTTTAATCACCATAACAAGTAGAGATTTAATTAAAAAAAAAACTTGAAAGCTGAGACTTGTGAAAAACTAAGAGTTTTCTGCATATCCATCTGGCTAATCCTGAGACCTTCCTCCTCCACGCTTTGAGAAACATTGGTTTAAGGCCAAAGGACAGGGGAAGGGGAATAAGAAATAGGGAATTGTTTTGTACAAGTCAAGAACTCCAAGGAGTCATACTATTTCACGACTACAGAGCTGGAAATGGGACTTTCACACCAGAGAACTAGGAGGTTCCCAGCTCTCCAGAAAGGGCAACCTTCAGCACTTGCTGTTAGCACCAGAAGAACACAATATGTCAGACTTAAAAATCATAGTATTCTTATGGTTTGAAAAGCTATTTTTAGAGGTTTTAAAAATTAATTTTATGCCCTTCAAGCTTGTGCAGTTTTACTTATAGTATAAGGAACGCTGAGCTTTACAGGTGATGGATACAAAATAATCAATAACTATTTTAAAGACTTTCTCAGAAGCAGTTCTAAAATGGTGTGTAAGTTATGGCTACATGCAAGTATGGTGTGTGTAAAGAGTTTATTGCACTTATTTGGGATGACTTGCATAAGTCATTCATGTGTTTCCCACATTGAGTAATATGATCATCCCAAACTCTTGCTAATTAAAAAGCTATACCCACTATCATGTATTCTCTCATCTATATATCCTCTGCTGAAGCTCTTTTTAGAGAGAGATTTGATTGTAGAAAAAAGTTGGTGAGAAATAGTAAAATAAATTCAAATGTTAAAGAAAGGAAAATGAGCATGACAGATATAATGGAGACATTTCTTTCAAGTTTAAGGCTTAATGCAGACATTAAATCCATCTGAAGCTGCTCTACAGATTATAAACTGAAATGTACAGTGAATACTCTGAATTCTGCTTTAGATACAACACAAGTGTGACATCCACAGATGGAATGTGCTAGGAATAGATTGTTGATGTCCCATTGCTTAAAATGTCTGCTTAATTGATACTGTCACTTGGTGCGGTCAGGTCTAGCAAGTAGAAGAGGGGAAGAAAAAAAAGCAGCAGCTAGCCTCAATCTTCTTTATTCCTTCTCCCCAGGAAGGAATTATTTTTTCTTAATATAGGAGATGCTAGCAAATATCAGGCAATTTTTTTCCACTGATCCTAATGTTCTAATTACTGTTATCAGTTTGAAACTGCAGTCCCTTACTTGAGAAATACTTGCTGTCAATTGGATCATTAAAATTACCCCATTGTCTCATTTCAAAGAATACTGTTGTGTGTGCGTGCAAAGCACCATATATCTGTTTATAGATAATTAAATATTGGACTACAATAACTTGATCATTTGCATTCAGAATTCCCTGCATGGATCCCAAAAGCAGAAGAGCTGTATTGTGCTTCTAACTGTGGTGATTTCTTTAATATGTAATGTTGATGCTTTACTCCTTTGGGCCACTTATTATATTAAATAACACCAATGGCAGCTATTTTTCCATTGTTCGTATGTTACAATCAAACATTATTTACTATGTTATTCCACTAGCATGAGCACTTTAAATGTGCCTTGCTTTACTCTGAAGTATATATACCTGAAACACTTTTCTACTGAAATATGAGTAATCAGCTTGGGGAATTGAATGACACAAGTGATTCATGTAGAATATGGCTTTTTTTCTTCTCTGTAACGGATTCAGATGTGCTTCATTCCAGTAGTCTCTGAAAGTTATATCATCTGAGTGCTGCCTAAATGGTCTTTGTGACATCAGTTGATGATCTCTTTCCAGTTATACTGTAGTTCTTACAGGACAGGTCTCCACATCACTATTAGCACCATACTGGTATTACCAGCACAGAAACTAAAGATTGACAGGCCATGCAGACTGAACTACCCTTTTGCCTATAAGGGATCATCTTGTCTAAATATGACTGGAGACATTTTGGCAGAGCAATATGAGGAAGCTTGCAAATGTCACTGTCCACTTTGTCATTTGGCCAGAGTAGAAGACTTTCCATGAATTCTAAAATACACTTTAAGAGACCTCTGCTCTTTCTTCATTCAGATTCCTCCTGAGACTCACTTCTTCCATGAGGCTCAAAATGTGACTACTATCATTTTTTAGATTAAAAATATGTTTAAAATATTTAAGGTGACATCATCTTAATCTCCCAGTTTGACTTTGACTTTTTTTGTTAGTTTTGTGAATTATAGGTCCCTGGACCTATGTTATAAGTAATAATTATAAATATAGAGACAGGAAATGTCTCGCTGTGGTTCTTGTACAGTTCCAGGCATGTTTTAGCACTTAAATAATTAAGACTGTCAAATTTTTAGCATCACTGCAAAGATTTTCCCATTGATGCTCATATGACTATTTGACATAATGGCTTCTGCATCAAAAGAAGAATATATCTCTTGCTGGTAGCACTTCTTTTGTCAAACAGCTGTCTGAGCATGAAAATCAATATTTGACATATTTATATACACTTTTTATTTGCTCAGGTGTATTTTCGGTTGGATCAGCCTTTGACAGCTTTACATCTTTTCAAGCAAGGATTAGATCGATTTCCTGGAGAAGTGACCCTTCTTTGTGGGATTGCCAGAATCTATGAGGTATGCATGTACTACACTACTGCTAATGCAAACAAGGTTATCTTCTTATGCAAGAAAAAGGGCCAGAGGTTCAATATGCTTGTAAGGTCATCAAAAATTCACCACATTATTTTCCAGCATTACTAATGTAAAACAAGTAGTGTTGCAGAAAGTCTACCAAAATAAAGACAGCTTTGCAGGCTTATTTGTTCAGCTGGTTAACTATACCAAACAGACCACGCTTTTCCTTGTTCAAACACACACAAACAAATCCACATTAAATCAAGTGTTGCATTTCCAGATGTTGTCCATGTAGTACTATGATTGGCTCATACATTTTTCATTGATCTAAAAGAGAAGAAAAGTGCTGGTGTCTCAAAGGGCCTGTTAATAGACTTAAACAGCAGGAGAGTCTACAGGTCAGTACTGCCTTCTTTAGTACTGTAAGTCATTGTGAATTAGTAAAGTTGAAATGTGTCATAGCTTAGGTGGTATTTGTTTTAAATGGAACTACTAATATTTTAGAATAGAACAGTAGTTTCATTGTAGGCTGATAATCAGAGGTAGTTGCTTTTATTTTGCATTAAAGAAAATGCTGTAATTAAAAATAGGAAATATTGAGTTTTATATTGTTGTAGTTTGCCTGGCACACTGAAATGGCAATAAATCTATTTCAAAGTACAAAGAAGTCATCCATTTTTGTCTAATATCCTTTTTCTAGTCTTCCTATCTAAATCTTTAAACACAGCTTGAGAAAGCGGTGTTTAAATAGTGTGGCATATTATTCTGTAGACTATTCTCAACATTATACAGCCTTTTTATGAATTTTTGTACTGCAGTCTGTATTAGATATTTCTCTGCACCGTTGTTATAGAAAGATGTTTGTTTCTGTACTGATGGGCTTTGGTGTGTCACATAACTACAGATTTATAACTTAATTAAAGATTTGTACCCTCGCATACAAACATTCAGCTCTCTTTGCACATGCCTGGAGGGACATATGTACCAAACACTTTCTCCTTAGGCATTAGAAAAAGAGAAGGTCTGCCACTTTCCATCTGCTCCAGGTTTTTAAATGATCATACTATTATTAAAATTTAGTATGTTTCCTTGTTTGAGAAATGTAAGTTTGCATAAGTTAATTTGCCACAGTTTTATTGTGTGATAGAACAGGTTTTAATTTGACTGTTTTCAGTCAAGTTGCTCAGGGTGATAGTATGATACACTGTAGGATGTTAGTAGAATGTTTTATGAGCAATAGGGTAAATGAACAAACTGCTCTCTAAACAAATAAAAACACTTCTTGAATTACCTCTAAATTTTGTACACTCACGCATCTTCTACAGGAGGTGGTTTCTCTGGTGACAGTAACCCCTCAAAGTACATGGGACATAGGTCTAGTTGTTACAAGAAGCAAAAGTCTATACCTCTTCTCCATTCAAATACCATACATCCAGGTGTATTTTTAGATACAATATGATCATTTTAATTGGCACCTCCTACTGGAAACAAACTTGCTAAATTATTCCATGATCCCAGTTTTCAGAGGCTCATGGTAATACTTGGTGCTCATTTAATTCATGAATTGCTTTGAACATAACCATTAAAGAATTGTTCTGAAAGTCTGACTAAACAGTCTGGAATTTATCATTCAATTTTGGGGGAACTATTGTACTGTGCTGTGTACTCCATAGCATAGTATAAATAGCAGCAAACACCTATTTGCACATGGTAGCTATTGTGAACAGGCTTTAGAAAATACCACGTGTACCTTTTTAAGTGTACTTGTCATACCTGTGTTCTGTTAATCCATGGTTTAGAATCAGTAAAATGTTCTCCACTGAATCCGTTCTTCTCACTTAAATGGGCATGTAGTTTATGAAGAGGCTAATAAGTGAATTGTAGTGTATGTTCAGAGAACCATAATAAACAATTCTTGTTTGTTGATGTGTCTACACTGTAGCTGGGAGCATGCTTCCCAGCATGGGTAGACAGAGAGACACTAGCTTTGCTCGACGTAGTGCACTAGAAGTAACAGCGTGGCCAGGGACAGCATGGGCAGTGGCTCAGGCTAGCCACCAGAGTATTAATCCAATGGGTCCAGGCAGGTTTCTATTCAGGTGGCTAGCCTGAGCTGTCATCAGTGCTACCTCCAGCTACGCTGCTATTTTTAGAATACTAGCGCAAGCAAAGCCAACGCATATCAGTCTGCCTTCACTGGGTAGGCATACCCTAGGTTGCCAGCTCCTTACCTATGCCCTGTAAAGCACTGTGGAAGTTTATGGCACTTTATAAGAGTTTAATAAAATGATAAAAAAGCAAGATTACTACAGTTTGCAAAATATTCGTTTGTTTGTTTTTCTATTTTTGATGTGCAGGAAATGAATAACATCTCCTTAGCTGCAGAATACTACAGAAAAGTCTTAAAACAAGATAACACTCATGTGGAAGCCATTGCATGCATTGGTAGTAACCACTTTTATTCAGACCAACCTGAGATAGCTTTGCGGTTTTACAGGTGTGTGCAAGTAAGATTAATATTAAAGAGAAATATTTTTGGAACATTGATACTGCCAAAGAAAATGCGAGTGTGTAGGAATCAAAGGTGTCTAACCAAATGGAGAAATATTGCCTACTATATCACCAACATACCTACTCTAATATCTTCTATACCTATAATATGGTAATTACATTTAAGCACTTAATATGCGGATGATTCTTAAAATAAAAGCGCATCAGAATGGTTGAGTACCTGATTAATGAATGAAGAGGGGGCTCAAAAGGACCTGATTTTCAACTTCATTTTGCAGGAGGCACACACCACCTTGAAGGATTAAGCCACTAAAAAACCCTTTTGTAAAACTCCATGGCCCACATCCTTGGCTACAGGTGTGCTTGCAGCCATGTATTCCCCTGTTCCTAGGTTGACTGTGAGCCAGGGTTTTCCCCAGGTTTATTTTACAGCAATCTGAAGACTGCTGTAAACCGTGCCAGCTGCCACCAGTCTTAAGCAGCTAAGGATCACCAGCCTGTGAAGAAGCCCCTGTACCAACATTAGAGAAAGACAATTTGTGCACTTTGTAGCCTGATCCTTTTTAATCGTTAATAATAATTGTATTGATTGCCAGTTGATACTAATTAGTGAGCTGGGGTAATAGGGTTCTCATCCCAGAATCAGGCTCCACAGAATTAAAACTGATAAGTTGAATGTCTTGTAGGGAACTTCAGGGTATATGGCAAAGACACTCATGCTGAGGGCAAAGCAAAGCCTTGTTTTAATAACAGCCAATTAGTAAGGACAGAAAAGCCTTAAACCACATAAACAGATGGAGTACTGCAGTATTAGGGATATCTTTGGTGTCATTCCCTGCATATGCTCTGATACTTACACCCTTCCTTGGGGACCTAGAGGTGAGAGACAAAGGACTAGCCCTGCCTCCGGCATGCCAAATAAGTCCAATGGTCCAGGATCTTCAGTGCCCAAAGATTGGGGGTAGATAACAATGAAGAGCTGAAGAGTCAATGATGGAAAGCTTGCCCACACTACAAAGTGGCTTGTCCTATAGGGCCTGGGCACTATCACAAATATTCATTCTGATGCCTAGCCTTCCATGTCCAAATCTAACTTCCTCACCCTCATAATATTGGGGTGCACTTATCCTATAGGTTAACCTATCAATGTCATTTAACTCATTATCACATAGTCACCAATTGCTCAAGCAAGTTTGTAGTTAGACATTTGCCAATGATTCTATCCTAAAATATCCAAGCCCAGTACCAGTTCAGTGTTCCTGTAGTTGCCTGGTACTGTTATGTACCAACTCCCTCTATTGAGCAAGCTGTCCCCAGTTTCCCAAAATCTAGGGTAACTGTTGGGCCATTTTATCTATGCTATATCACAGGCCTACCATACTTTTGCTAACTTGCTTAAACTGGTGTCTTACAGGATACAGGCCTGTAGGTTCCTTGTGTTACTTCTGAGTAAAATAAAAAGGCTAAGCTAGCTCTATGGACTACAGCATCTATGTTAGTTCTAAACCACCTGAAGATCTCCCTTCATTATGGCGATCCTCCTGCCATTGGCTATGATGGCTTTAGGTCCAGAATTGGCCTGTGCTCTCATACAAAGCAGCTACATTCATTCTAAGATCTGGTCTTAAGTGTACTTTTCCCTCTAAGTCTTATAAAAGAGTTCTGATTTAATAAAACAGCTACCTTTTAAAACACACACTTTTTTCAATTTTTATTGAAAGTTAATGTGCAGCATTTAATATGCCTACTTTGTAAATCTGATTAAAAGTTAGATAAGATCTGATCTGGCGTTTGCTAAAAGCCCAGGGTTGGGCCAAAACAACTTAAGTATGAAGCGTGATTATAAAAAGTGATAGCAACAAGTTACAACTTTAAGGTTGGGTGATGAGGGATATATCCAACTCTGACTTACACTAAAATCAAATGTAGTGGCACATCTGAAAAGCCGAAGTGTGAGAGTTTTGATTTACACACACAGCATTTTGCATAGCACTGATTCTACACATAGAAATAGTCTGTGTCTATTGTCTCTGGCTTAGCCTTTCAACACATTTTTGCCAAACAGGATGGTCATTACCCGTGATTAACTGTGGTTTTTACTTTTTAAAATTCACATTTGCTTTGAACTCACTTTATTTTATTCCGTTCAGAGCATATTACTGTTATGTAATGTACTTAGTCATGCCTAATCCTGTTGGGATGGAGGGAAGATTTTCCATTTAGAAAGAAATTCCTACTTGCAATACATCTAAAAATGTTAAATTATCTTTCTCTTGAACTAGACGTCTCCTGCAGATGGGTGTTTATAACTGCCAGCTATTTAACAATCTGGGCCTCTGTTGCTTCTATGCCCAGCAGTATGATATGACACTGACCTCCCTTGAACGTGCACTTTCTTTGGCTGAAAATGAGGAGGAGGCAGCAGATGTTTGGTACAACTTGGGGCATGTGGCTGTGGTATGAAAAAATTAAAGTTTTTCTGAATAAATATGAGTCTACTGAATGAAAAAAACAATAATGCTGAAGCAAAAGGAATTGGTAGATAGACCCAAAGGTCTGTTGTGAAAAAAACTTACAGTGTGGAAGTCTGATAGTACAGAATAAAGCACAGTACATATTTAGTTGGGTTGAGGGTTTACTACCAGTTCAGAACAGGAAGAAACCCCAGGAGAGGAGTACCTTTCATTCTTCCAGTTTGGCGTGTTGTCACATCTTGCTGAAAGACTCTCCAATGGAACCTTGGTGGAACTTGTTCTGTTGCAAACCTGTTAGACTAATATAGCAGATTCAAAGTAGTTTCTCCTGCAGCTGCCTTCCCTTAGACATGAAGTGCTGGGTTGCTACATGCTATTGGATAACAATGTTTATGCCAATAGAATTAGAGTATTAGAATACGAGACCCTAGAGTAGCATGTGTTGTGGCTGAGAAGGTGCATCTCTGTTACAGCTTGCTTTTTTAAACAGAAATACAAGTGGTAATTGTCCAGTAAAGATATTCAAGTTATCTAATTTGTTAATTATCTATAATTTTAATAGAGTTCATTGTAAAATCCTTTTTTAGGGAGGAGAATATCACATTAATACGTAACCCAGTTTGTATTTCTCTTTAACTACCTGCCTGGAAGTAGACTTCTAAACACCATTTAAACTTTCAACAGTGTTCTACCTTAAGTCAATGGGAATTTTCCATTGACTTTACTGGAATTGGGATAAGGCCCTTAATGCATACGTTTTGACACCCTTGGAAGTTTAAAAGCCATGATGCATGTATTTCTTAGTGTTTGGCAGTTTCAAGGTGACCTTGCATTGTATCAGTTTAAATCATATAATTGAAACATTAGCAAATAACCTCCTGTTCCGGACCAGAGATACTGATATTTGTACTAAAGTAAGACGCCCCCATATGAGGAGAGGGGGGCAAAAGGCAATTGAGAAAAACTGGAATTGTGAGTAGGGTTCCTGTCAGTGTGTTTTTATTTAAAGTAACACATTTTTATTTTACAATAGTACATCCAGATGAAAAAAGCATTCCTTTAAAACAAAACAGAAAACTAAGCAACCTGAAATTTACTGTCAAACTTTTTGTTGAGTGGAAAACTCTGTTGGTATTTTTAGGGAATAGGTGACCTGAACTTGGCTTACCAGTGTTTCAAGCTGTCCCTAGCCAATAATAATGACCATGCAGAAGCTTATAACAACTTGGCTGTGCTGGAGCTACGAAGGGGTCATGTTGAGCAGGTTGGTGCTAAACTCTAAAGCTATGTGAGATGCTTGCTTTGAACCTCCTGTGGTTAGAATCTTGATTTCAAGGAAATTTCAGTTAAGTGAGAAGCCAGCCAGATGGCTTGCTTGTCAGCAAAGTTTAACTCAGATGCATGTTTTGAAGTAGCCTCTGGATTTTCATACCATGCACCACTAGACTATGTCCTCATACACCCTCGAGTGGCTGGTTGAAGACAAACAACATTTGCAATGCCTTCACAGCATGTGCTGTTGACAGTTATGGCAAACTAGGGTTTTCTGAAGGTAAAATGGTATCCCAAAGGTAAAAGAGGATAAAAATGCTATGGCCTGAATTAGAGCAAACAAATTATCCTGTAGTTATCGCCTCAATACGTTGAACACTCTGTTAGAATATACTGCTTGACAGAGATAGGTGAAAGAGTCCATTATCAGGTGCCAAGGGATTTCTTCTACAAAGAGGTGATGAAGAGATTGCCTCATTAAAATTACATACAGCCAGTAGTATTTATTTATGCATTGTAATCACAAAGGCTACCTTGAGATTTTTCTGAGTTAAGCATTCATATTAGAGTGTGACCATTGGCTTAAATAAATAATAATGTTCCATGCTAAGGCATTGGAAAATTATATAGAAAAATTACAGTAGACAAGAATATGCCACTACCCTGGGCAAAAGAGGAACCCTGAACGTAACTGGATAGCAGCATTTTTTTCCACTTTGTACATAAGTGAGTGTTTATAATAAGGAAAAAAGGCAGTACACTATATTGGAGCAAGTTTTGTACAGGAACAGAATGCCTTCCTGTAAGGCTTTCTTTGCAATGCACCCTAAGTCAGTGAGAGCTTGGGACATCTAGTTGCCCAACCTAGGAGTACCATAGCATATTGCACGTATATCTAAGTGTAGCGAAATATAGATGATGTGCATGTTGGAATAATCTGTACATTACAACAATTTGTAACACTTACCCTCCTTCGTCCTATGACTGCAGAGGCATTAACTGCCCTCTTCATCTTGAATGATCTCGCAATGTGTTAACTCCTTATGTTTAATCTGTTGTACCTTGTATTTATCTGTGACACTGAGTACCTTTCTCAGACCTGAAGAAGAGCTCTGTGTAACTCAAAAGCTTGTCTCTCTCACCAACAGAAGTTGGTCCAATAAAAACATACTACCTCACCCACCTTGTCTCTGTTAGAACACACACATTTTACTACTTCTTCCTGTAAATCACATGAAAGTCAAACCTACATTGGTTGGAAAGTCAGTCAGAATAGGCCCTCAGTAAGAACTGAATCTTTTCATTTGAACAGCAAAGCTGGTTTGGTGGATTTATATATTACATACACACACACACACTACAGAATAATATACAGTACTTAAGTAAATCTGTTCCGAAGCAGCAAGTCATTTATAGAGCTAACATTATACAAGTATCCTAGCAATCACCATGGTAACATTTAACATACCCTCATGCTGATCTTTGCTGTGACCGATGAAGTTCAATTTTACTTTGTTTCCCAATCAGTCAACATACATAAATTTATATCCCAGGTGGAGCCTTAGTCCAATTATACTGAAAGAGGGGGGTACTGTTTATAATTAAGGCTGGATATGCATTTCCAGCCTAATTCCCTGTTTTCAGTTGCTTTTAACTTTAATTTTCAAGTTGGCATTTTTCAGTTTAATACCCATCCACACCAAACATTTTCCAGTAATTTAGTTAATACTTTGTGTAAGAATAACAGTGAAGACTTGCTAATATACATAATTAACTGTTTAATCCCCTGAACTGCACCTAAAGAAAACTAATCCAATGACTGAAAAGAAAAAAGTACAGTATGTGTGCTGACAAAATTTAAGTGAATAGCAAAGATAAATTACTCAAAAATATTCAGGACCTTTATGAAAAGTAAATTATTTTAAGTATAAAAATGAAAAACTCAAATATAGTAAATTTATCTAGGATGGTAGAATAAATTGACAGTATTTGAGAAACAAGTTATTCCATAATTTGACCTCATCGTAATGCATACTCAAAAGCCCAACTTGGGTGCTAAGCTTTAATGTTAATAGCGTTTTTTTCAAAATAGCAGAAAACTATTTTATGGAGATCATTGTTAGAGTACATTTTATTTGAAATGTCCACAAAGTTCCTATTAAAAAATGGAAAGTATTCACAAGTAGAACTTACTTTTGTGTTGCATTCATGGCATTACTTTCATCTCACTGTATATTAATTCAGTTTATATATGATGTATGTGTACACACACACATACATGTGAGTTTGTGTGTGTATGGGGGTGGGGGGGATGTGAGAAAACCTGGATTTGTGCAGGAAATAGCCCAACTTGATTATCATGCACATTGTTGTCACTTTGGATGGGCTATCACCAGCAGGAGAGTGAATTTGTGTGGGGGGGTGGAGGGTGAGAAAACCTGGATTTGTGCTGGAAATGGCCCAACCTGATGATCACTTTAGATAAGCTATTACCAGCAGGACAGTGGGGTGGGAGGAGGTATTGTTTCATATTCTCTGTGTATATATAAAGTCTGCTGCAGTTTCCACGGTATGCATCCGATGAAGTGAGCTGTAGCTCACGAAAGCTCATGCTCAAATAAATTGGTTAGTCTCTAAGGTGCCACAAGTACTCCTTTTCTTTTTGCGAATACAGACTAACACGGCTGTTACTCTGAAACACACACACACGTTATTTTTCACTAGTTTAATACTATAGTCATCTGTCACTTAAAAGGATTACTTCGGATGGCTATTGGGCAGCCTGTTCAACATTTAGTGGGACACTTTCAAACCTCACAACCTCAAAAAATCCCAAACAGTTTGTTTTAAAAATCCACACACCCCCAAACTTTTCGTGCAAGTAGGGGTTCGTTTGTTTTAAAATCATCAGCTCTCCAAAAAGGGTGAAAAACTTCAGCTGTTTAGGCTGAGCAAATCAGAATGCTGGATCATTTGAAAGTATGGATGTATGGAGTACATGCACCTCTCACCATCCTTCAGCAATTCCTGTCGGATCTGTTCTTGTGAGCCTGCAGGGGACAGCGAATGATGAGAATTCTGCTCTCCAAGCACTGCAGAGAGCAGAACTCTTGTCAATTTCATTCCCTGGCCAGCTCACTGGAACAATGCTTCAGGGAAAATGCAGGGGGAATAGCATAATATCAGATACATGTTCATTTGTATTTCATCCAGCTCAGGATTCTGGAATTTTAGGGGAGCTAACAGCAAAGTAAGTGAAAAGAAAACTATAAAACTCCCAATAAAAACAATACACACTAGGACATTGTAAACCTGAAAAATGTCATTTTCAAGAGATCAGATTTTAGGTTTTCAACTATGCTGAATACTCCAGAGCATTAGGCAGTGTTTTAATAGACAGTAGCTCCAACTCCAGTAGAAATTTAGATCAGTTTCTCAGAGTTTCCCCCTTTTTTGAGGAATATGTTCTATTTGGTATTTAGTACTAAATTGCCTATTTAAAGCTCCAACTCTGCCCTGTTAACACAGGCAAGGATCCCATTAATTTCAATGCTATTAAATTGTATTATGCCTTTATATAGTGGTGAATATTGCTCATGTGTATTTTAAGATGACTTTCTTAGTAAAGACTTATGAGACAATCCAAGATCATGTCCTCACAGAACAGATAACACATTTTCTCTTCATTCTCTCATCCCACTGCCATTCACATGTTTCAATATAGTCTTGTTTTTAATGTGTGTAGGCAAGAGCATTGCTGCAGACCGCTTCATCTTTAGCACCTCATATGTATGAGCCCCATTTCAATTTTGCAGCACTTTCTGACCAGGTAATGTACTGTTTTCTTCTTCTGTCATCTGAAAGCTCAACAAGTTTTTGTTTGTATGTAACAAGTTTCCAGATAGGTGAAAGAAAAAGTGCAAAGCTTCTACCCTTTAGAGTAAACTTGTATGTCTACACTGTAATGCATAGGGATTGGAATTCAAACACCATCCATCAAATTATTTCTTCTGAGAATGAAAGTTTCTATTTTGAAGACCTTTAGCTATGTATTAATTTTAGTAATTCCTTGAATTTACATAAATTTACTGAACTATAGAATTTTCACTTCATTTGTGGTCTGTATAGTTATTTGATCATTTTGTATATTAAGTAGTAAAATAGCATCTGATTATGATTTCTTAACAATGAAAAGAATGTTAAAATTGTTTATGCCATAATTTTACCTGTTACTGGAATATAATATTTTTCAGCTTTAATGCCTTTGACTTTTTTGCTTTTTATTAACTTCTGTCATAAGACACACTTCAGTTATTGAACTGGTAATTTATCTTTTGTTCACTTAGTTTGAAAGAAAAATGCAGAAGAGCTATCCTGATCTATACTGAAAATAAGGGTGACAATTGTTAGAGTATGTGTAGGAAACAAGTTTTGAATCAAGTACTGTAGACAAGACGAGCTAACGTGAGAAAACTTTTTCTTAAACCCATGCCCATTATCTATTACAATCTCATTGGTATTAAAAAGAGTAGTATGTACAGGTCTTGAAATGTTTTGCAAGTACAACTTGCTCTTTGCCTCTGCCTTCACTTTGAAGACTGATTCAGATGCAAGTCTGTGCTATGTGGGCAGCCCACTAACACTAAAGTGAGAATAACCCACTCATTCTTAAACGTACCCTCTCCATTGTAAAGCACAAGATTTAAAGTGTAAAAATGATTTGCCATACTTCCTGATTAAGGACTGTATCCTGGTCTCTACATGTGGCCTATTTATATAGGCTGTGCACAGGGGAACTTTACAGGTGGTAGAGCAGACCAGCTGTGTATGCAGCCTGCTAATGTAACCCCTACACCCAATGTAATACTCTGGTATACAAGTAGCGATAGCCTTTCTAGCCAGGACTCCAGCCCACCTATTCTCAAAACCTCCCTCTGAAGGTCTTTCTGATGAGGTCATCACAGTGCTGTGTTCTATGGGTCAGAGGTTACATAGAGGTCTCCTGCAGCACCTTGTCCTTTTCTATCCAAAGGCCCTCACTTGTACTAGAGGTTTTAGGCCTATAATCAAACTTATTTGTTCAGTCTTGAGACCAGTTTACTTGGACACTTGTAGAGGAAGTGTCATGGCATCAAAAAGTGTGCTGCTCAGAGTACATGCAATAAATAGTGCACTGTTTGTGACAAGAGTGTTTGTGTATGTGTCTTGCAGGTTGGAGATCTCCAGAGGAGTTATATAGCTGCTCAGAAGTCAAAGGAAGCATTTCCAGGTCATGTTGATACACAACAGCTCATCAAACAGTTAAAACAGCACTTCGCCATGCTTTGATGCTATATTTCTGTCATGTAAAATAGCTCAAATGATTTTACATCTGAGATACTACAAAATACATTTTACAAAATGATAGCTGAGAATTTAATAGGAACAAACCCTCCTTCTTAAAAGGCCTGTGTTTGGTTTGGGTACCAGGGAACATTTAAAAAATTCTGAACTGACTTGTAACAGTACGCAAGACATTTCACTTTTTACATGTGGCTAGAACATACATTGTATTTATTTCTGAGTAAAGAATAAGATATTGCAACTATCTGATAATAGTGTCAGGCAATTCGCCATTTAATATTCAGGAAGCATTTTAAAGGATTTTTTCCTGACGTTTTGGCAAGTTTTTAATGTTCCTCTTTGACAGTGCAGCATTAAGGCAAAAAGGTTTCATGTCTGTCTTTCCAGCATGGCTTTTGATACTGTACATTCTTACTGATTAGTTTGTGTATTAAGTTCTTATGAGTACAGTTTATGAATAAATTCCTTGTTATTTGAAGCAGAAACATTATATATTTTCCTTTACATTCGGGTGATATAAAATAAATTTTGATTTGTTTCCGTTGTTATATTATTCATATTGCTTCCAGTTTTCCTTATACTTACTTTCAAGAAAGAAAGGATTTTGAGAAATCTAGTAGAATTGGCATTAATAGCATAATGTGCATGCTTCTCTCTCACTAACAGAACAAAGTCCAAGGATTAGGTCCATAGTAATATATTAAGAGGACAGATGCTTGAGTGTCAGATTCACAAGGGGGACATAGGTGCCTAATTGCTACTTTAGGGACCTAATCCAACATTTAGGTGCCACTGGCCATCACAAACCTCCTAACCCTGTAGGTGTCCATAGTCCCTAAGCTTTCCACCTAAGTTTCCACTGTTAAATTCTCCAAAGCACCAAACAGGTTCACAGTAGCCTCAAATCCTGACACCAGCCTGCAACTCAGCATCTAACTCGCACCCAAACCCCAGTGGGATTCTTAAACTAGACATGGCCTCTGCCTGTTGCCCTTGGGCCTGGTCTAGTAGGTATGCTCGGAGCACCTAAACCCAGACAAAATGGATGTTTTGAAGCTGATCCACTCTGTCTGCATTGGGTCAGAGAGAAAGAATAACTACAGCCTAGTGATTAGGACACTAACTGGGAGGAGGGAGACCCATATTCTAGTACCTCAGCTCAAATGCATATTTAATTATTTACACACAGTGGGGACCAGTTTCAACAGGAGAGATTTAGAAAGACCTGCCCCAGAATACCCCATAGCCCAGTGAATAGGGCACTCTCCTGGCCAAGGGGAAACCCCCTTCTTCACCTCAGGCAGAGTTGGGAAACTGAACACAGATCTCCCACCTGGCTGAGTATCCTTACCACTGAGCTAAAAATAATGACACCATCTCCTCCTCAGTTTTTCCCTGAGAAAGGGCTGACCTGGCTTAGGTGCCTAACTCCAGGAGAGTATTCACAGCTGTGAATCCAAAGTGGGGATAAGCACCTAATTCCCTTTGCAGGGGGACTTAGAAATGCTGAGGAGAGGGGAGTGGCCTATTGGCTAGCCTAGGCAGCTCTCCACTCAGCAGGCTGGCTTTTGTGAATCCCATTCTTAGGCACCTCTCTCCCCCCATGTATTGTATGGAGAGCTGAGGTGCCTACCTCAGGGTCATGAATTATTTTTGGTGACAGGGCCCGTACAAGTTAGGCGCTGCTATGCTGAGTGTTGCAGCACCTAGACTCTCTTGCAAATTCCACTCAGTGTTTAACAATGCTACCATAATTAGGGTGGCTAGAATATTTGTTAAAGGTATAATATGATGATCTCTTTTTTCCTCTGCATTTTAAAATAGTTCTGTTTATCTACTTCCCATTTGTGTGCATCTGCCACCATTTTTTTTTTAAATCACATGCAAAATTGAAGGATCCTCTACAGCAATAATTCCTGAGGGGGGGCCAATTACTGAAAATGTCAGGAACGACTTGGTAGTTTTCATCCCTTTTCCCTTCTGTGTTTACTGTTTTATAGAAGTAAAAGTCTGATAATAGTGACAGATTCCTCCGACATATTCTGCTTCTGTCCTCATGAATGAATTTTTCCTATACAGCTCAATTGGAAGTTTTGATTTAAGAGGGAGAATCTGACCCACAGTATTTCAGTCTCCCAGCTTTTTCAGAAAGATTGATATGGCAAAACCTTAGTTTGTTTAAAAAAACCTTACAGAGAACACTTGATGAGACCACCCCCTCCCACCCAAACCTCTCAGTTTGTTTCCATCGCTCAGGCAACAGTACTTCTGAAATAACTGGCAGCTCACTACTGCCATGGAACTTAAGCCCACCACACAACCTATTTTAATTCTGGTTGTGATGCTGGAAGCCAAGGTGCCATCTCATGCCTAGGTCCCCATACCTCAATGGGACAATGAAATACATAGCTGGAATCAGTTGGGCTCGCCTGGGTTGTTAAAATAGGTATTAGAATTGTAAGAAACTGTTTGAGTTGCCGCATGCGTTAATCTCATTGATAACCTCTGTATCCCCTATTGTAAGGTAATATTTGAACGATTGTATTGTAAGCCTTTGACTGTGTAAATCACCAGAAAGTAGAGAGACATGAAGTGGTCCAAAGTGCTGATCTGTAACAAAAGGTGTCACATCCTGCCCAACCGGCAAGGTTCATCGAGACCAGATGGACTATTGTGGGACCACAGAAAACAAAAGTTGTTTGTTATTTTGCCCTCCCCACCATGAAGAGGAATCATGCAAGTGGATTCCTCCCATCAGCCGAATTTTCAGCTCAGAGCACAAGGAAGGAGAGGGATAACAACCCCTACCAAGAAGGAACAGTATCTCTCTGCTGTTTGCACTCTGGGAGGTGGAGGCATAAACAAGAGATCCCCAGTACTTAGTCTGGGTTTGTCCTAAAGAACATATAAGGCTTGCTTATTATAGAAGCTTCTATTACTTTTTGAAACTTAAGATTGTACCTCATTTGTGCATATGTTTTTATCTGCTTTAAACCTTCTAAGTACCTCTCTTGCTTCCTTTTCCAACTTAATAAATCTTTCTATACTTTATTATAGAATTGGCTACAAGTGTTGTCATTGGTGAGAGATCTAAAGTGCAATTCATTGGGGGTAAGTGACTGAGTTTGGGACCAAACATACTTATAGTGACTGCTACATCTGAGTTTATATACTTGAATAATTCTTTAAACAGGTATTATTTACTTAAAATAATATGGCTGAGTCCAATCTGTTCCTTCATTTATTGTGGGGAGATCAAATATGGGCAGTACAATTAAATCTACATGGATGCTAAACTATACACAGTAATTAAAGGCAACGTAAACAGGCTTGTGAATAAAAGTGAACACCAAATTCTAAACAGGGATTAAAATCTCTTAGCTTTCTAATGTGGAGCATTTGGAAGCCACTCCAAATATATCTTGTATACTCCATTCAGGTTTGTTTGCCCAAAAGTCAGTAGCTGTTTGCTTTGCGACCCTTTGATGTCCCAAAGCAGGGATATTCCAATATTTGCTCATGACTAACACACTACTAATTAGATCGAATGTGGTAATCAGAATGCAGCACCACACTGAAAACAGCAGATGAATAAGCCAGGCTGTTAGTCACAGAGGAACATTTCAATTTTTTTAAAAATGTTAGACAAATTGGCCGGCCCTGGGGCAAAACAACCATCAGTTAATTTAGTATGACGTAACATAACACAATGCATCAGAAACAGTATCTGTCTCTGCAGGAAAATCAAGTAAGGACAGTATGACCTTAATAGTGTAAGCAGCATTTCTGTAACATAGCAATTGTTTTTCCTCTAACCAGTAGCCCCCACCGGTATCCAGCCAGCATTATTCAGCTATGCTGGAAGGAGCACAGGAGACACTGGATGTGGTTTAATTAGGCCACAACTTTATTCTTAAATGTCTGGGAGTACCCAGCAGATAAAAGTGTACAGTGCAGGTAATTCAATAATCATTTCAGTATATACCTGGGGGCTTCCATCAGCCCTCCCCCTTACCTGTCCTGGTCTCCAGCCAACCCACAGCTGGGACCTCACCATCTAAGTTCCCCGTAAGCTGCACTGCCATGCAACAGGTGCTCAGGGAACCTGCCTGCCCAGCCGGGACTTGCCGCAGCTGGGGAGGGGCACCCCTTTCCCCAACCCAACCCCGTCCCAGACCTGCCATGGCCAGGAAATAGGTGCCCCTCTCCCAGTGCCAACCCAGCCCAGCCCTGGACCTGCCGCAGAGAGGGGATGGATACCCCTCCCCCCATCCCCAACACAGCCCCGGACCTACTGTGGCTGGATGAGGGGCACCCCTCCCTGGCCCGAGCCCAGTCCCAGACCTGCCACGGCCGGATGAGGGGTGCCCGGGCCCAAACCCCACCCCAGACCTGCCACAGCCAGGGGATGGGCGCCCCTGCCCGAACCCAGCCCCCTGACCTGCCACAGCCAGGGGATGGGCGCCCCTGCCTGAACCCAGGCCCCTGACCTGCCACAGCCAGAGGATGGGCGCCCCTGCCCAAACCCAGGCCCCTGACCTGCCACAGCCAGGGGATGGGTGCCCCTCCCACAGCCCCAATCCCAGAGCTGCCGTGGTGGGGAAAGGCACCTATCCCCCTGCCCAGTCCAGGTGCTACTGGAGGGAGTCCTCTCTCCCCGCCATAGCCTCAGGGCAGCCTGTGCCCCAAACCTCTCAGCCTCTGCCCCACCCCAGAGCCTGCACCCCCTCCCCACACCAACCCTCTGCCCCACCCCTGAGCCCGTCATCCCCAGCCCCACTCCAGAGCCTGCACCCCAGCCCTCTGCCCCCTCCCACACTCCAAACCCTTCCGCCCCACTCCTACCACATTAATTTTGTTATGTGCACCAATAAGGTGATGTGTCACACATCACCTCCTTATTGGTGCACATAAAATTAATTCTGCATGTTGGGGAAAAAGTAGAGGGAACGCTGCTTACCAGTCCCCCACCCCAAATGTGGGGCTATAAAGTAGCGGGGACTGGTTTCCTGCCATACCAGTCATAGGAGCCCCAACTTCCCCATCTCTTTTTCCTGTAAAGAATACCACCTTTAAATCCTTAACCAATCCATTTTATCTATATCCCTGCTCTGTGGAGTACCTGCACAGGACATCGGCCCCCTGCAACACTATAGCCTAACTTCCATTTCATGTTTATCCCCCAACTAAGCCCCTCCCCCCAATTCCCTTGGCCAATCCAGCAGTGAAGGAAAAATTCCTTCCCAGTCCCCCAAGAAAGACACATCTAGCACAATGCCCACAGTGGATCCTGACAAAACCCAGTATTTCACCACTTTTGTGTCTGGGAGGGTGTGTGATGCGCCCCCTGGTCCAGATAAAAGGACTTTTCCCACACCAGCATGGACCTATATAATCCCCACTCTTTTCCAGTCATCTGGAGGGGGGTGGGGGTGGGGGGAGAATGGGTCAGTCTCACCTAGTGGGGAGTTGGCATTC